TTTCTTCCCCCATCTTTAACTACTGACAAAATTCCTTTCCTTTTCTTCTTCTTGGTGTCTGCCCTCCCAGACCATCTCCAAGGGCTTCTTGAGCTCATCTCCCCCCTTCTCCACTCCCACCATCTTCCAGTTCAACCTTTACATTGGTAACCATCCTCTTCATTCTTCCTCTAACTGTCTCAGCTGATTGGTGCTCTGCTGCTCAGAGTTCAGCAATTTTTCACCTCATCCAGGAGGTGAAAAATGATGATCATCTCCATGCTTTAGCATTATAGTTGGCAGTCACCTGATTCCTCCTATTGGTTTGTATCCACTCTCCATCACGCATCCAACTGTTTATTCAACCCCGAACATCCCACTTAGCTTTGTGCTTTGTGTATAGAACTTTCTTCCTAAGAGAGCTTTATCAGCATGATCTACCCAGTGACTCAAGGATTGCTCTTACTGTGAAGCTTTCCCTCCCTCCCCAAGGCAAACCAAAAATGCTCATTTGCCTATGCTTCCACCTCCAGCTTGGAATAGACTCGGCCCTTGTCCTGGTTTTTGTTATAATTATTCGTGTATATGTGAGTGAGAGCATTCTCTTCGGATTAAAAAGTTTGTTGGTGGCATGATAGGGACCTGCTTTCATAAAGCCTGCCCCCCACCACACACACACACACACACACACACACACACACACACACACAATGCATTCAGTAAATGTTGAGCTGTTGAGTGAACACATATTTAATGCCCGCAGTTGATGAGGCTGTCAGCCTGGCCAATAGTGAACGTGTGCTTATCTCTCTTATGCTGCACAGGAGAATGGGTTTCTGGTCTAGGGTTTCCTTTGGCATAACCATCATGAGTGGCCCTGGTGAAGTAAGGGCTGTGTGCCACCAGGAGGTCCAGGAGCCCTGCAGGACTTTAGTTATCTCCCAGAACTCTTCTGTTCCCTGTGTGTCTGTGTCTAAGGCTACAACCACTATTTTGTAGGATGAAAAAGAAGGGGGGGAGCTGGAGACAGTACAGCAGTTAGGACACATTTCCAGCACCACCCGATCCTACAGGCACCACCCAACACGGCCAAAGTGGCTTAGTATTGTGATGGGGCTCCCCAGACCTCCTCTACACAGCTTGGATGGTCCCTCCCCTACAAAAGAAAGTTTGGGATGACATTAAGCAATTCTATTTTTCCATAAACCATGCAACATCTGAACCATGAAAAAGAACCTGAGCTTTTAGTTAGAGTCTATCTCTGGTTAGCATTATCTGACCCAATCTAGCTGCCCACTCATTGGAATTCCTGGCTGGTGTTTCCCTTATAGTTTTTTATTGCATTTTATTTATATAAGTAATGTTTGCAGTATGTTTACATGTATGGTTTTAATGTTATGGATTGTTTACTTCTCGATTGAGTTTGTGTTTAGATTTTTTTGCAAGACTATATGTTTGTTTTAGGGGTACAATGTTGCTACATACACCCTCTACCAAAGTTCCAGTTCCCTTCACCAGAGTTCATTGGATCTCTCCACTCTTTCAATCCCCAACTTCGGTAACCTCAGTTCTGTGATCACAGTGTTGGTTTCATGGGACTTTGTCTGTTCCTATGCTTTGTTTCTTAGTGTACTACATGTGAGCGATGATCATACATTATTTGACTTTATTTCTTCTGGTTTATCATGGCACCTTCTGGTTCCATTCATGTTTTATTAAAACATAAGACTTCATCTTTTGTTAGAGGTGAATAGTACTCCATTGCATCTATATATATCACATCTTAATTCTCCCATCCATTTCTGGGTATTTGAGTTCTTTCCTCGAGTTTTTTTCATGTCTTGCTACTGTAAATAATACTTCATTGAATATAGAGGTACATATGTGCATCTTTTTAGATCAGTGCTTTTGTGTTGTTTGATTTAGATGTATTGTATGGTAGATATATTTTTAGTTTGCAGAATTTCCAGTGGAGTTTTGTTTTAATTGCTGGCAAAGGAAGGTGCCTCACTACCAACTGTGTTGTGGAAGGATCATTGGTTACAGAGACCATCAGAAGAGCTCTTTAATGAATAGTTCTGAACTAGGCACTGAGACACTTGCTCTAAAGACAGAATTGATATGTGACAGCCTCAAGGAACATATGGCCAAAAGAAACATATTTCCCAGGAACATAGCCAAAAATAACTGTCCAGGAAGTCCCAGCTATGTTCTGTAGTTGAATAGGAATGTCTTCTAGGAACACAATGCCCAGCGACCTTAGACTTTGGCTCCATGAGGCAAGCTTTTCCATCCCCGCTAACCAGGGAATTCTGGTTGTCACAATCTTTTTCAGAAAGACCCAGTATTGACTGAACTGAGACTTCTCTAAGGCAAGACCTGAACTGCATTCTTTCAAGACACCATATTCTCATTTTGGCTTCTAAAGCACCCCGCCACTTACAACATAATTTACTACTATCAGTTTACATTTGTTTTATCATCACTGGATTTTGCATGACTAAAGTTTGCTCTGTGAAGAAAATCAACTCTCTCTTCTAAGAAATATTTCCCAATTATGGCTTTTGGTTATCCAGACTTCTTCGAGTCATGATCATTGAGTTTCCTGAGCAGCACCTTGGGACATTGCAAAGTTGTGACAAATATGAAACCTGGTGACAAAATGATAGATCTGAAGGTCCAAGACCTAGCTATTGACTCCTCTCTCTGTGTAAATAATATCATTGTTTTAGTAGCCACAGAAACGTGGCAGAGAGTAGTCAGGAATCAGACCCCAGAGTTGGTGTTTCCAGGATTCTTGATCTAGCTACAATTTGAGCTGAGGAGGCTGTAAAAGATTGGTCTGTGGGCCTGGGGATTCCCTGTCATTCCATAGTTAAGGATTGTCCCAGAGGGACTCTCCATTTGCCATAGTAGAATGTGAGGCTTCCAAAGACAATGATTTATTGACTGAAGTAAATGCATTTTGTACTTAAAATGCTCTTGGCAGAACTGAAGCTATATAGTACAGCAGGTAGGGGTAGGGCACTTTCCTTGCAGGCAGCTGACTCAGGTTCAGTCAATGGCACCCCGTATGGTCTCCTGAACCCCACTAGGAGTGATCCCTGAGCATAGAGCCAGGAGTAAGCTCTAAACACTACAGGATGTGGCTCAAAAACAAAACAAAAACAAAATCTGCTCTTAGCTATCCAGTTCTGTTTCTCTATAAGCCATCATTCAGCCCCCTCAAATGACTTCTGACTAAGAAGTGAGCTCAGCAAGCCCACTCTCCCTCCTTTAACTGAGTTTCAGAAGATTATCCCATATCCACAATCCCTAAACCTAAATTGAGTCAACCTAAACCTAAATTGGGTCACCCACGAGGCACGTCTTATTCAGGGTAGGTCAGGACTTTATCCTTAATCCAATAAGTGGGTCATTTTAAACACTGAAGAAGTAGAAGGTACTTTTGAATGTTTCTGTGTCTCTATCAATGCCTCAAAATAAAGTCCTAAGCACAATAGGTCAGTATCTTACACTCAGCAAGGTTAGAAACGACTAATAATCCTTATAAAGCATACATAACATTTACCCAATGCTTTAACCTTTTAAAATATATTGCAGCCCCTATTAATTCATCTTATCATAGATGGGCTCTTTGGTCTTCATTGTACAAAAAGTAGGGGGAAAGCTTTAAATTAGCCATACTAGAGGATAACTCAGCAGGTAGGACACTTGTCTTGCATTTGACTGACCCAGCTCCGATCCCCAGCATCCCATATGTTCCCCCTAGCCTCTCCAGGAGTTATCCTTGAGTGCAGAACTAGAAGTAAACCTTGAGCACTGCTGAGTATGACGCCACTTCCCTCCAAAACAAATGTAAATTCGATCTGGTTCTAGTCTCTAGTTTCAGCATGTACTTAATTAACTCTGTGATCTAGACTTAATGACCTAATTTTGTCATTTGTAAAATGAATCAGGGATGGGGGAAATGATGCTAGTGATATTTCTAATGTCCTATGAGCTTGAAAACTCTTGACTTAATGTGTAGGAAAATGCCTTGCTTGGCATAGACTTATCCGTGTCAATTCTTTTGTGGATTTCCAGTATAGTTACTATTTAATGTTCCTCATACTTGAATCTCAAACTTAGGGCTCATTTCACATGTGCTTTGGAATTCCCATTATCATCTCTGGTTGAACCAATCTTGGGACCTTCCAAGTCCTGAAGTATTGTGGTTGACAATCAAGCAAAATGTCAGAGAAACATCCAGTTTTATCCTATAACTTGGAGAAATGGTCAGTGAACACAAACACACACACTCACACACACACACACACACACACACACATACTCACAGTGCTAGTTTTGGAATCCTAGATGCCCCTGTTCCCAGTAGATTCCAATAGGATAGAGAAAAGACCTGGCTTAGAGTGACGATGACTGCAGGAATGAAATCCTATAGCTTCCTGTTTGTTTGTTGTTTGTTTGTTTGTTTGTCTGTTTGTTTTTTGACACTATGACACATTAGAAACACAGAAACACTATGTATGGATCCTTATTAAATCTAGAAAGAAATTGTCTCATAGATGAAGACTCATTATATGAAGTTTTACCATTCTAAGTCAGTTCTTTTCAAATTGGCAATAAGTCATCTGGCTAAAGCAGGGGTTCCTTGTCATTTGTTTGGTCATGAAGCCCTTTAAGAATCTTATGGAAGTAGTGAACCTGCTCAGAAACTCCCCCATATTATCACAAATTGAGATTTGGTTTTAGGGATTCCCATACTCTCTTAATTCCAGGGACCCCCAACTTAATAACTCTTTATCTAAAGTAGAACAAAACAAGTCAAAGCTGGGAATATCAGGGCTAGACCAATATTTTTGAAGTCCAGTATTTACTGCCAAAACTATACAAGTAATAACCTGAGGTTTTCCTTTTCTCCCTTCCCCCATCATCCTCTTTTCCTTTCTCTACCCCTTTCATTATCTCTCATTCCCTCTCTATGTCTCTCCCCATATCTCATGCGTCTTGCATCTCAGATGTTCCAGCCTGGCTCAAAAGCCTCCGCCTGCACAAGTACGCTGCGCTTTTCTCACAGATGACCTATGAGGAGATGATGGCCCTCACTGAGTGCCAGCTGGAGGCTCAGGTACGTGCTTCCGTGGACCATTCCCTGAGAAGATACACCAGGTAGAACTTTGGTATCTGCCAAGTTCAAGATTTTGTTTGAACTCATATACCTGTACCTACCCTGTAGCTTGCATTGTTCTAGGAACTGTCTTATGAACCAGTTAGTACATGGTGAGCCTGGCTGAAGGTAAAAACCTTCAGGGAACAGTGGGAGATAGAAGATGACCAGATGATGGTGGGTTAGTGTTCTGGGAGAGGCAAGACCCCCAGAACAGTCTCTTAAGTTCAAGGGTACCAAGGAGAAGTAGCCTTTGCTCCAAGTACTCCGTCTGTCCCTGCCTTTTCTTTACTTGCCCCCTCCCTCCCTCTGCCCACCAGGACATGTTTGGGTGATGATGTTGTCAGGTTCAGATATAAATCTTGTAGTGAATGGCAGAGCCTGGCAAGCTACCTGTGGTGTATTCGATATGCCAAAAACAGTAACAATAACGGGTCTCATTTCCCTGACCCTGAAAGAGCCTCCAGTACACCAGCGTTGGGAAAAACGAGTAAGGAGAGGCTGCTAAAATCTTAGGGCTGGGACGAATGAAGACATTACTGGCGCCCAATCGAGTAAATCGATAAACAATGGTATGACAGTGACAGTGAACAAAAGCACCAAGTCATGCTTCGGAACTTCAAAAGCACTTCATCAAAAACACATTCAGACAGACTTTAGTCGCGATATGAGCAAGTTTTACAATTTTTTTTTCATCTAAACATTTTGTGTAGCATGGTCGGATCATTGAGAATTAGGATTATCCTAGGTTTCCAGTTTTGTTTTCCTTCCTCATGCCTTGAAGGGCAGACTTCATCCTCCTAAGACATCTTTTCCCCAGTTTGGATGTCAAAATCGAAGCCATTCACCAGACCCCCTAAAAATGAAGCATGTTTCCTACCATGCTGTGCTCTGGTAAATAGAGCTGACCGAAGTCTTTGTTTCCCTTGTTTAAAATGCTATTTGCATGTTTCACATTGACCTCGGTTTCCTTTGAGCAGTGATTTGAAAGAATTAATAGTCTGAACCAGCTAATAGTATTTCCCCTGCAGGAAGAGGAGATTGGACCATGGGGGCATGTCTGGTCTGGAGGTGTACCTCCCAGCAGATAGCTGGTTTCCCATTGCATGCTAGTGCCCCGGGTTAACCTCTGCAGGCCTGGCTGAATACCAGTATTGAGATGCAAGACAAAGCCCAAAGTCACTACACATTCTTCCAGAGTGAGAGCCACAATATTCAACTTCCTAAACAGCTCCCACTGCCTTTTGAATCCTGTTTGCTGCTTCATATCCCAAGGATTGATGAGAACTGCTTCTAAGAGAATTTTTGTGTTTGGATCAGAGTTGAAGAAAAAAAATAAATAAAACTCCAGTCATCAGTTGATGGTATAACTTGGGGGGGGGCCGGGGAATAAGGAATAATGGGCCCAGAGCACAAAGTCCAGTGACTGGCATTGACTTTGCACAATAACTCAATTTAATTCACTTGAGCCCAATGGCTAAGCTAAATAGTAATAGGCCCCTGGTGTTTTTTTATAGAGAGGGAGTTCAATTTGATTACCAACTTGATTATTTTTCTAAGTAAAAGAGATATTGTCATTCATGTTATCATCCTGCTCTCAGAGGAATTCCAACAATAGCTGGAAGAAATCACCAGAGCTTTGCTTCAGAGGACTGGCTTAAGAGCCTTCTATTTGGATATTTACGGTATCTGTAGTCAGTGGTTGGCTAAGTCCTTAGGTTGGTCTCTGTTACTACATAGAAAATCAAGTCCACAATCCTATCACGAATTTTAGTCATTTTCCTGAAGCAGTGACTGAGTTTTATGTTAACTGGTTTTCCTTACAAAGACCCCAGAAGAGCTGTGAATTGGTAAGAATGGCCTGTGTGGGTTACCAGGTGATGACGATACCTCTCACCTCCTCATGAGAAGAGCAACAGAGTGAAAGTTGAAGAGAGCAATGGATATCTGTTGGGGTTGGAACCTTTAGGAAAACAGAAAAATAAAATGTAAAGATAAAATTCAAGGAGCAGTGCCACTGTTCCTGTGTGGGGGATTGGGGGGTGGGTCACCAGCTTGCCTGCTGGTAACCAGAGGGTCCCCTTTTGTGTTCAGGGTCAAATCACTATCTGCCCCTTGGCCATCCGACAGTGAAGGACCAAGGAAGGAATGGGTACCACCACGCTGGTTGGTAATCAGTGGTCATTCATTCAAATCTCACAGCTTTAGTATAGAGAAATTGTGGAGGGTTGGGGTAGCAATTACACATAGGTTAGGTTAAACATAATCATAAACAATGAAGAGCTGTAAAGCCCTTCCTTCAGGGGAAGTTCTTCTAGGACAAAATCTCACCAGCACTCTAGATTCCTGCTAGGAGATCTGCCCCCAAACAGAATTCCATCTAAGGGTGTATTGTTTTCTCCTTCCGGTAGCTAGTATCCATTTAAACAATCATCTTAAATTTACCTAATAATATTTGTAGTTATTTTGTATGAACACAGTGAAAGATATATTAAGCTTAAAGGTTGGCTCTTCCTGGACACTTCTTACTATATATCCCAGACTATAGTCCTCAGGCCAAGTTAGTCTTTCCTAACCCCATCAGGGTCCTTATTCAGTTACTTCTTTTTAGGTCATGACAGAGTTTGTTCCAGCACCATGTGTTAACTTATTATACTTTCTATGGTGCTTATCCTGTTCCTTTTTGATGCCAGGGTAGCTTATAACTTGCCCGGGGTCCATCCAGATCCCTCGCTGGAACCCTTCTTTTGGGGTGTTAGGAAGAACGGACAACTGAGGCTTAAGTCAAGTAAATATGACAGATGCCAAGAAGTAAATATTATTCAGAGGCAGTTAACTCCTAAGCTACGAAAGCATAGCATCAACTCTCTTCCTGTGTCTACACAAAAATAACATTGCTCTAAGGTAACTGTGCAAAGGACATAAAGGAGAGAGAAAAGCAGTATCTCACTTACATACACAAAATCCAAAACTCTCAGAAGAATTTGACTTGAAAAGTTACAGGGTCTGATCCGGGGATAAGTGATTTAACAGATAAGGGAAGAAGAGCACAAAGGAGAGGCTAACGAAAAACACAGAGAATTGGGAGTGCCTGATGGAATTGAGTATGCTTCAGGAGCACTGTAGTGGGAGTAACTCAATAAACCTAAGCTCCCTGCCCCTGCACACCAATGAAAGGACACACCAATGCTAAAATTAAAATGTTTAGAACTATAATCCAGCAGGATGCTACCTAAAAATGATCTTTTATGGCTGAAGGCATTTCCTACCTGTGTAGTAGGCAGCTGCTATAGCACTCTCTCTCCTGAAGTACCACCAAGACACAGGCAAAGTGTAAGTCCGAAAAGATACTACACAGAGGTGTATGACCCTGGGTGTGAACAAAGCAGAAATGGATATTTACCTGAAATGGATATTTACCTGCAAGCCGTTAGAGCAGAGAGTATGAGTACTAAGCAGCCTCTGAAAGTCTGTAAGTTAATTATTTAAAAATGATGTCTAATTACAGAATGTTACCAAAGGTGCAAGACACAAAATTGTCATCAGTATTCAGAAGCTCAAGGAAAGACAAAACCTCCTGAAGTCTTTGGAAAGGGTAAGTCACTGCCAAGCAAGAAAACACTGTCACCTTCATGGGGGGGGGGGGGCACAGGGGTATGGATCCAAAACACTCCCAGTCAAAGTGGAACTGGTCCTGTCCTCCCCACCCCAATGAGACCCCAAGTCATCACCCGTGAACGGCCTTTCTGGCTCCTGATCAAGCTGCTTAACAGCCATGATCCCAGAGACTCAGGAGCAAATCTCGGAACCCAGCAGGTTTTGGCAGAAATCCCTCCAGATTTAAGTGTTAAAATTTCCAAATTTCAAAATCGCGCGGCCACTACTGCAGCCATGCAACATCATATGTTATTCATAACCAGCAATAGAAAACAAATTGTCTACTGTTGCCTTTTTAGAAGATCTGAGTGTTGGGGTAAAATCTCAAATAATAATGGTGGGTCTGGTGTCAAGATATTGAATGTGATCAAAGTAGAGAGAGTAACGTGGAAATCATCTGCCCCACAGGTAGGGGGAGGGTGTGGGATGGGAGTATACTGGGGTTGTTGAGGGTGGAGAATGGGCACTGGTGAGGTACGGGTGTTTTATTGTATGACCAAGACTTAGACCTGAAAGCTTTGTAACTGCTCTCACAGTGATTCAATAAATAAAATTATAAAAAATGAAAAAAAAACCCACTCCCAGTCAAAAGTATTGCTGACTGGCCTTCAGGGGTGGTAGTGAGCAGTTTCCCCATGAACCCATTCCACAGTGCAGCAGTCTCCGTGTCCCCCAGGGTCCAAGCAGCCTGTGAGCAGTGGTACGGGGTTGAGAGCCTCAGTGCTGAACGGCCCCACGTGCATGCCATCCCCCTGAACTGGCCTTCACATGCGGAGGTGAACTAGGTGCCTCTCAGGGTTTGGGGCTGGAATCTGGACAGAGCAGTATAGGAAACTCACAGACAGGCTTCATTCCTTTTCTCCCTCTAGGGGGAGGAGGCTACCTAAAGGGATTCCCTTCCTCACTTTGTGTCAGACTTCACTAAAGTGATGATGTCATTTATGTAGCTAGATGACCTTAGGATTCCATCGAAGTGCCTTGTTCCAAACAAGAATGAGCCCTCACTGTCCTTACCCCACCCAGCTGGCATTCTTGGGCACTGGAGACTTTGGGGAGCGGAGGGTGGAAAGTTCAGTATCTGTTGTATTTGTTGCCGGTGGGTCTTGAAGAGCAAAAAACCTCTTGTAGGAATCCCAGCCAATCTTTGGAAGGTAAAAAATATTGAAATAGACAAATTAGAGAAAGCAAGTGATCACATAAACATGTGAGTGGAAAGGACTTTTTGGTAAAACTTGTTCATTAAGATGTAGGCATGAATATATGATTTTATGTACAAATCTGTGGAGTTTTTCTCAAGGCATCACATATAATATTTAAAGCATTTTTATCTGTCAAACATGTATCTGTAACTTTATCAGGAAGGTCAGTTTGAAATTTGCTTGGACAGGCAATGCACCGCATCCCGTCCCATCCATGACAAAGAGCCTGTTCTTAATTAGAGTGAATCACACATGACCAGTGACCCAGCCCACTGAGCCAGAGGTTATTGTTGTTCTTTGTTAAATGCTAACTCCTCTACCAGACAGCTGATCTAATAGTCTGATCCTTGCCATTCTTTCTGTTTGTTTTGGTTTGGGGGCTACACCCAGTGGAGCACTGAGGCTATTCCAGGTTCTGTGCTGGGGAGGCGGGAAGGTGAAGGCAGCATTATCTCACAAAGGTGCTCAGGGAATCATGCAGTGCCTGGGGAGGGAACGCAGGCTACCTTCAATGCACAGCAGTCACTTAAACTCCCTGACCTCTCTCCCACTATTGCAATATTTGTTTTGTTTTTCTTTTTGTTTTGTGGGTCACCCTGTAGTGATCAGGGCTTACTTTTGGCTCTGTACTTAGAGATAACTGCTGGAGGATTTGGGGGGCCACATGGGCTTCCAGGGACTAAAACCTAGTCTACCAGGTATAAGGCAAGCACCCTGACCATTGTACTCGTATCATCTGCCTGGCCAGAGGGGGCTGTCACCAGTGACAGCTGAAGGACTCATTGGGATCTCTGCTGGTGACCAAGTTAGAACAGGTTAGGGATTACCCCCTCAAGGAAGCACAGGAAAGAAAGGAACCCCCAGGGAAGAGCCCTCAGTGGGGTGCTATGGAGAGGATGCTGTGTGGTCACTTGGGCCACTAGCTTCTGAAGAGATAAGCAACGGGGGTTCAATCCTGGGGTTCCTGAGGCTACCTCAGCATAGTGCTCCCACACAGCTTTCCTCCAAGCAAACTCACGATTACTTTCCTCTTGTCCGTCATCTTTTAAAGCATTTCTACTCATGAGCCAGGCAGAAAGTATTTTTTTGTGTGGAGTCAATGTTATCCCAGTGCGAAATGTAGCATACAGGCTTATCACCCATGCATCAGGGGCGAGACAAAAGCAGCGTCAAGTCAGGGCCACGGTGCTACTTTACTCTCATTTGTTTATAGACACTAATTTGGCCTGAGGCCACTGGAAAGAGAGTCCAGAGAAATTCTGTCTCTCTTTCAGTGAGTTTCTTTCTTCAGTGATAGAGTGTAGAAATGAGCTCCTGAAGAATGTTCGAGAAAGAGAGGGGGGATTGACTCTCTACAAAACTCAGCCATCTAATCCTTATGCCAAAACGGTTTCTGACAAATGAGAAGACAATTTTGAATGTTCCCTAAAGAGAATATTTTTTTTTGTTAAAAAAAAAAAACTATGGGACGGGGCCAGAGCAATAGTACAGTGGGTAGGGTATTTGCCTTGCAGGCGGCTGACCCAAGTTCAATCACGGGCATCCGTACAGTTCCCCAAGCATGACCAGGAGTAATTCCTGTGTGCAAAGTTAGGAGTAACCCCTGAGCATTGATGAGTGTGACCCAAAAGGAAAAAAAAAACTATGGGACAGAAGGTGAAGAGAGATAGTACAATGGTCAGCATACAGCATTCTGACCTCACATAGAACCTGGATATTTCTAAGGAGATAGCAGGACTCCACCAAGGGAGTTCAGTCAGTAGTCAGGGACGCTGCAGAGCGGCTGTCTCACACTCAGCAAACAGCTGCCTTGGACCAGATTTAGCAGGTGCACTGGGTGCAAAACGTGAGTGTCCCCTGGCTCCTGCCCTTAGGGGATCCTGGATGAGTCTGAAGCAGATCTGTGTGTAGTCAGTGCTTTTCACCCATTTAGAACCAGGGACAGGTGAAAATGGGAGCAGTGTCCCACAGACCACAAAGGCAGAGTTCAGAGACTGTATATCTTGAACACTTATAATAGCACTGTGACATAATCTCGCGTAGTGTGCATGTGGCTGCCATTATTTTTCTGTGGATCACAGGAAATTTCTGCAGCCACAGCCACTATGGACCGACAGATTCAAATCACTTGCCAGGGCTCTCTTGACACGGCCATGCCATTCCCAGGTCAGGTGGGAGTCATCCCGAGGGCAGGGAACATTACCCTCCAGTGGGGGACTTTGGGGTACAAGGCTGGCCGGAAGCTGGTCCTGGAAAAGGGTGAAAGATCATTCATGGGGCTCTAGGTATTGATGGGGGAGGTGGGTTATGGGCTTCAGTTACCCCCTTCTTTGGGCACAGGAAATGTAGAAGGAGAAAGGAGTGTGGGAGAAATTAGGCTGAATTTGATGGGCTGAGTCTGCGGTGCCCGATGGACACAAAGGGAAGTGGCCGAGAGATAACTGCCTGGTTTGAAGACTTTGGTGTAAGTGATCAGGAGCGGGGATTGACAACTGTCCCCTGGAGTTGGCTGGCCTTCAGTAGCAATGAGCAGAAGGTCTTCAGGGGAATGGGAAGAGACAGATATGGAAGCCCAGGAAAACTAGGAGTAGGGATAAGTCAGAAAGCTGGGGATGAGGAGTGGAGTGGAGCTTCTCAGGATATTTGGTAGGTAAAATGGGGGAGGATGACAGTGACCATTGGGGCAGACTTTTGGATACTTATTTTTAATCAAAGTACTTTTTACATGTTTCTTTGGTTGAGGGAAGGTAGGGCCAGGGAAGCTTCCAGGAGCCACTGGAAACTCCAGGGCCACAGGGCCAGTGATTCAGCACAAGGATCCCAGAACGTGGTGCTGCTCAGGTCCTACAGTGTCAGGATTGGGCCTGTAGCAGTTTGGGGGCCTCCAGGGCTGCACCCAGTGATGCTCAGGGATCCATGTGGTGCCAGGAATCAAGCCAGACTGTACTAGCTCCAGGACCGCTCAGATTTGCCCACTTCCCCCCACCCCCAGTGATTCCTATACTGTGATTAAGGCCTGATACTGAGAAAACCCACAGATTCACAAGTACATGTGTGAGTGTGTGCATGCATGTGTGCATGCGTGCGCACACACACTCACACACAGTACTCCCATAGTTACCTTTGAGTCCCAGGAAGTGTGTACCCCTCGTCTGTCCTGTCCTCTTTGTTTTGGGACCCCAGTTCCTGACAGTGCCCTGGCTATAAGTGACTGTTTGGGAAGGGGAAGAGAGAGAGAAAACATTTAATCCGGTGCAGGAGTTCTGTCTGTTTTGTGAGACGTCCTCGTTCTTCTCATCCAGATTGATGAATGAGCCCTTGCGCTTGGTGAGGGGATGGGAACTGGGCCTGTGGAAGCTTCTCTTGTCAATGATCTACCCCTTGCTACTCCTACATCACTCGCAAAAGGCTCCAAATCGTTCTTTCTTCAGTACCAGCAAGCCAGACTAGAGAACCAGCGTGGTAGGAAAGTATCTTCCTTCCTACTGGTGGACCCTGAACCTATGGCTGCCCAACCAAGGAATCAGCACTGAGAAAGTACTGATGGCCAGCTTTGCTCAGGTGCTAATGAGGCTTAGAGACAGTGTAGGCTCCATTTAGAGCCCCCTGAACACAGGAGGAGCCCTCTGGGATGGCCCAAAGTAGAACCCAGTGCAAGAGGAAGTTCTCTCTTGTGACAGGAGAAACCGGTAGACATTCTGGTGCCATGGGCCTCTTTATAAGAGGGACCTTAGGGATGGACTAGGCCTCGCACTGTGGGCTCAAAAGTGCTACTCCTTTGTTATTCAGGCTCTGAGATTAAATATTTGCTACTAATCAGAACTTTGTTGTCTGTCTTCTGCCTGGGTCTCAGGGAGACTTTTGTTGCCTTAACTCTAGGGACAGCATCATGGTCCCCCTGTCCAGACCCCCCACCTTGTGCCCAGCCCAAGAATCTGAGCCTGTGTGTCTGTGAGCATCCAATACATAGTTGAATGCCCACCAGAATCCTATGTTGTTTCTTTTTCTAAAAAATAAGTAAATGCTTGGTATATCAAAGCATGCATGGGAAGATCTGATTGTATTATATCACATAGACAGCTGTGTTGCATCATAGACAACTGTCACATAATAGATGTAAATGCTTCTCCTGAGAGGGAGTCTCTGACACGCTTCAGACATGCTCCAGGCATAGCCCTGCCTTCCAGCCTTTGCCCACACAGGGCGTTTGCCTCCAGGGCTCTGCCCCGGGATACTGAGCTCCTGCTTATGGAGATTCCTGTTCCAATGCTTACCCTCCTCAGAAAGCCTCTCCTCATGGCAGCCCTGGCCCATACCTAAAGCCCTAGCATTCATGACTGTTCATGTCAGGGTTGGTTGTAAACTCTGAAAACTCCCAGGTCTTTTCTGCCAAATCCCCATCATAGACACAGCTCCTGGCACACTGGAACACTCCACCTCCACTTAACAGTTAAAGAAGCACGTGAGGTGGCACCCTCATTTGAGACCCTGAGACCCAAAGCCACTTAGCCAGCGTCACACAGCAGAGTCAGAAATCAGCCTCCAGCCCTCTGTCCCGGAGTCTGTTATTTACTGCCTCCCTGTGTTTCCCGTCTCCTGGACTGAGCAGAACTGTAAATGAACAGGCTCCTTCACCTCGGGATAGGATACCCAATAGTACACATTCTGCTTCTCAAGTGTGTATATGGAAACCACATACATACATTTTATAAAAAGGCATTAAAGAATCCAGGGGAGGAAATGCACCCAGATCATTTTACGTCACGTCTGTTTTTCTCCTTTGCGTCTTCCATATTTTGGCTAACCCGAAAAGGAGAAGAGGAATAGGGTAACTTTACAGAGACCACTCCAACTCCTTCCTGGGGAGGTTTGGAGCTTCGGGCCCCCTGTTTCTCACCCCTAATAGGTCTCTTCCTTCTGGCCACCCAGGATATCATCGAAGGGGGAAACCTGCGTGCCCCACTCCAGGAACTGCACCAGATGATCCTGACTCCCATCAAGGCCTACAGCTCCCCGAGCACCACCCCAGAGACTCGCCACCGAGAGCCCCCCACCTCGCAGCCTTCACTGATGGGACCTGAGAGCCAGAGGCCAGACTGTAAAGATGGTGGGGCCGGCCCGGGGGCCACAGGCTCTGCGGGAGCCAGCGGCGGGCTGCAACCACACCAGCTGAGCAGCTGTGATGGGGAGCTGGCCATCGCTCCCCTGCCGGAGGGGGACCTCCCAGGACAGTTTACACGTGTCATGGGGAAAGGTAAAACCGGCTCCTGAGAAGTCTCCACAGGGCTCACACAGTGGCCTTCCACACAGGAAGCCCTTAGCCCATTTCCTAATGAGGAAAGTCATTCTCATCTGAATGGGTCAGTCATTCCCATCGGAATTCTCATCCGTCTCACCCCCAGACGCCTCTTGCTTCACCCCATGTGCCTTTCCTCTGCCTCCCTGAGCCATGGCCCTTGGCTAACACCAGCCCTCACCAGGTCTGTGCGCTCAGGGATCACTAGAGCTTGGGAGACCAAGTGGGGTGCAAGGGATGGAACCTGGATCAGCTAGGTGCAAAGCAAGGGTCCTACTCACTGTTCTATCTCTTGGGCCCCCACATCCGTTCTTTGGCCTGGACCTCCTGCTGTGCCTCTCCTGAGGTTTGGGTCCTTGGATGAAAATCACTGGAGTCATTTAAGGGTTGCTGCCCAAGAAATCTTGATCCTTAAAAAAAAAAAAAGTGTAGTGGAGGCCAGTTCTTTTCCTTTGGGAAGGGGAAAACAGTGTGTGTGGGGGTTTGTTTTTGATTTTTTGTTTGTTTTTGCATATTCAGTATTTCAGAATTACATTTTCATCAAAAGAAATGGCTACCTGGGCCTTGTAGCTGCAACAAGAAACTCTGCAGGGCATGCCCTAAAACAGGCTTAATGCCTAAACATCTGTTTGCTTTTATTCGGGGTCCACACTGGGCAGTGCTCAGGGGTCACTCCTGGCAGTGCTCAGGGGACAGTGCAGTGTCAGGGATCAATCCAGGACTCCTGCACGAAAAGCTTGTGCTCCACACTTTTGCGCTCTCTCTGGCGTCTTCAGCCCACAGAAACCTGGTTCAGAGGTGCTGACTTGCAGTGTTCTCAGAGCTGAGATGCCCATAGCTTGATGGCCAGTGTGGGCTCTCCCAACTCACCTCTCTCCACTCTCCACCCCTTCTTCCCTCTCCGGACTGTCACCCGTATGGGGAGAAAACAATGACCACATGGTCAGTACAAATAGTGTCACCTCCTTTTAACAGCTGCATCTTATTCCTCTGTGTACACAGAACGTCCGTTAGCAGGGTCCCCATGCATGAACAGTGAAATGGTTTCCAGCTTCGCTTCTTCTAAAGCCCTACAGGAAATCTGTGTCAAAATCTACGTGTTCTTGTTAAGGGTCTGTGGCAAGTTGGTCCTGCTGGGAAAGAGAGAGAGAAAGAAATCTTGAGGCCCACATTGCACACTTTGATCTATTTGGATTCAAGGCATTTTTACTTCTTACCAGCATCTTTTTCTCAGCAACCCTCACTGTAGCCTGCTGAACACCCACTCTCATAGCAGCCATCATAGTAGAGCACCCAGGACCTCTAAGATGAGCCCCACAGGCTCCCATATCCCGTGAGGAAATCTTCCACCCGCATAAGAGCTCCTGTCAGCTTCTGCTTACACTCTGGGATGTGTGGGTGAGCCTGAGTGTGTCAGAATGTAGGTGGCACTTGGAGAAACAGCCCTCGGGGGCGGAGTCACAAGCTTCTGCCTCCTGCACACATACACACACACACACACACACACACACACACGCACGCACGCACACTTACTCACTCACTCACTCGCCTTCCATCCCCACAGAGGTGCCCGCCTCCTTGCTGGAGACAAGGTGCACAGTTCATTCATAAATCCCTGCAGTCAGCTCCCGCACAGCCACGGGCTTTGACGGCTTGAACTCCTGCTCCACAAAAAAGAGCCTCTTTCAAAGCTAGAACTCAGGCCACTGCTGCAAGCTCCCTCCTGCCGTGCCTGGCTCGGATGGGGCTGCTGAAGGCTTAATATAGAAAGGTATGCCTGGAATGGCCGAGGGGCTCCTCCAGGCACGAGCTCCCCGCACTCCAGCCAACCGAGACTTTGCCCTCAGTGGAATGAGGAGCCTTCTGGCCTTCTTTGTGAACCTGACGTCAAAGCCATGGGCACACACAGCTCTTCAAAGAGCGGAGGGAATCCAAGGCTGATCTGGGGTGGTTGAAGGGGGTACATTTTTCTAATTCGTCTCGTTGTGTTTGTTTGAATCCACAGTGTGCACGCAGCTTTTGGTCTCCAGACCTGATGAGGAAAATATAAGTTCCTACTTGCAGCTCATAGACAAGTGTCTGATTCATGAGGTGAGTCGTGATGAAACGGTGTCTAAAACTGTTTTCCTCCTTACTGGAGAAATGGGTCTCAGAGTTTCTGTGATGTGATCGTTTTGGTATCCAACAACTTGTTTTCGAGGGGTACCTGACCATTAATAACAGCTTGGGTAGAACGGACTCTGATGGCTTCAAACCTAAACACAGCTTGTATTGTTGTTCAGTGACCAAAGACTCGTCTCCACAGCGCTCTGACATGAGTGTGCCAGAGAGAAGTTTCTGACGGGGGAAGAGACCCCAAGCCTGAGGTGGTGCCCAGGCAGCCACCACCTGTGGCATTTTTCAGGACTTTTAAACGTATGTGTCACCTTCTAGTTCTGGAAAACTGGAGGAAGGGAGAGAGAGAGTTAGCAGCGGCAGCCATGGGTGTTTGTGTCTGTGTTGTGTGTGATTTGATGGCTGCTCTGCTGTGTTTTGATTTGTGATTTTTATAGGAAGTGTATTTAGCCATATGTCCTTTGGGAGAAGGATGGAGGCAGGCTGGCTCTGTGCCCAACAGACTCTCAGAGTGAGAGCCGTCTTCCCCACGGACTGAGGCAGCTCTGGGCACAGCTGCAGCTGGGGGCCTGTGGGGATGGATTAGTACTTCCCTTTGGGATTCGGATCCTTGGACCCTCCCCACTCCAGAGAGACAAAGTCATGGCTGTAGAGAGTGCAGAACAGGATAAACCTAGGGCACAGAGGTCTTTTTTTTGGGTGTGTGTGTGTGTGTGTGTGTGTGTGTGTGTGTATGATACTTTGACAAGAAAGTAAGATGATAAAAGCCTCCAAGTCTTCTCGCTTTTGCTGAGTAGAATCTAGAAGCCCAGACATCCTGTGGGCTCCACTAAAGAGAAGGATCCCTTGTCGAGGGGTCTGACCCCCTGGCCCTCAGCTGCCACACAACCTGCCAAGCTTTCTGCACCTCTGAGGGCTGGCTCTACCACCTCTCACATATAGGTCCACACTTCCCCCAAAACAAAACAAAAACAAAACAAACACAGATCTACCCCTCCTGATCCAAGGGTTTCTTGTGTGTTCCTCCTCCTCTCCCCGAGGCCCTTCCATTTCCAATTCCAACACTGTTCTTTTTTTAAATAATGTAGGAGTGCGGCTATTTGCTCAGCCATTGATTAAGCTGATTGAATTGGGCATGAACTCCACATTACTTTTTTATTTTATTGTATCACCGCAAGATAGAGTTACAAAGCTTTCATGTTTGAGATTCAGCCATACAACGATGGAACACCCAGTGCACATTTTCCACCACCATTGTCCCAAGTATATCCTCCCTCCCCTGCCCACACTCACATCCCTGTCCTCACCCTGCCTCCATGACAGACAATTTCCCCAATACTCTCTAATTTGGGGCATCATGTTTTGCTCAAATTTTCGCACCACCATTCAAGCCTACCTGCCAGGCACAGATGCTAGATAATATATTTTCCATAGCTCATTTTGAATATCATGAGAGCTTGTGCAGCCACGATTATAAATGTAAATTTCTAGATTGTAAATGGTCCACCACTGTTCTGGATTTGACCAAAAGAAAGGAACAGGAAAGAGAGAAGGTCCAGACAGAAAGAGTCCCGGAAAGAGTTTGTGGGCTCGCTCATTCATAGGCCTGTCAGTAGTGAGGCAGCTTGTGGTATGAGGAGAGCAGGTGAGGTCAAAGAAAAACAGCCAAGGAGAGACACCACCAAGCCCAGGGCCAGCAACAGGCATTTACCCCGGGCATGACCCCCAACCCCTGAGAGCTGGAAGGAGAGCCCGAGAGTCTCTGCAGTGGCGAGAACGATGTTGAGGGCTCAGTGACTTCTTGGGAAGGAGGATGATGTTTGAGGACTCGAGGCTAATTGGGGAGCATGTCAACTTGGTAATAAGGCAAACCAGAACCTGCTTCCTCTTGTGCACCCACTTTTACATTGAGCCTTCAAGATGCGTGACAAGTTACTTTCACCTCCCTCACGTGTACCCACAAGACAACACAATAATTCCTGCGGCTGCTTTGGCTGAACCGTCCACGTGCTCCCAGACTGTATCCCCGAAGCTGTGGCCTGGCACTTCTCACATTCCTGCCACTACACTTGCTCTGTCTGGGCACCCCAAGCTCTCCTTCTTGTTTCTCTCTGCTTTTCCTTTCAACATGCCCAAGTGATTCAGCGCTGAGGTGGCCCCCTGTGGACTCGTCTGCTGACAAGAGGCCCTGATTGCGGCCTATGGCTGCCTCCCTGATTGAGAGTCACAGGCAGGAAGGAGCTCATGTCTGCTCGCTGGAATTCACATCAGGCTGGAGGGATGAGTTCTCTGCCTTGGGAGGAAAAATGTTGTCCAAAACCTTTTATTATTATTTTAGGTCAAAGGAAAAGAAAAAATATGTCTAAATTCATTTTCCACCACCTCAGACTATTTTCTGTGGGCAGAACACACACTCCCTATGAGGACCAGAGGAGGCGCGGGTTCCATCCTGCAGGAAGGTCACCATGACTAGAGACAGAACTGGCTTTCACAGTGCCGAAAGGCTCGTCTTTCGAAGACTGAAGGGGAGGGTGTTGGCTCAGCTAGGATACCTTCCTCCCTGAGGAGAGAGGAAGCGAGTCCCTAGACTAGTAAAAAGAAGAACCAGATGGTTCTGGATTGGATTTCTGAGACCAGTCCCTCCACATCCTGAATTATAATTCCAGGCTTCTTGCCTCCTTGCCATCTTGAGGCGGTTCTGGAAGAGATGAACTCTTTATCCCCCTTGGTGAGTCTATAAATGCAGATACGTCTCAGCCATCTTCCTCCAGACAGAGTTATTGGTCTGGGCCTGACAGGGATAGAGGACTCAGAACTGGCTGACTGGCTGCGTCTAGGCCATCTGGAGTGTAGTGACTTTCTTCCCCTCCAGTTCCTGAGGAAAGCTGCTGCAGAACAGCTCAGCTGTCAGCATCAGCCAGGACTGAGGTGAGGTGCCAGCTGCCCCAGTCCCCCTAGTGAAGCTGCCATTGTAGAGTGCTCCTTTGCAGGCACAAGAAACTTTCAGAGTGCAGGGGAGCTGGTCAGGCTCCTCATGCCTCCCTGTGGCAGCTTCCAGGGCTGAGACAATCCAGCCCACACTCTCAGCACAGCTAAGGTGCTCGTTCTTGTTGGCAACCCGGAAATGTTGCCTAATGCCCCATTGTTGAGTGAAGAACCTGATCTTTCTGTGAGGATGTAAACATTTCCATGCCTTGGCTGGGCTTTGCCATCCTGGAGATGTCATGTATGAACAGTGTCCTTGCAAGCACTTAGCACACACATCTAGAAACAGAGCCTTTTACTCCTTTGCAAGCCAATGCAGAAAATGCAGGCCAATTGCCTTTTAGGCTGACACCGGAGCATGGCACTTGTGAGACTTTAGAGTCATTGGCTGGAATTCAAGATGATTGTTGAATACCAGATGTCACAGGAATTCCCATTCTATCACCCAAAAGCTGGGGTATACACCCCAAAGGACTGGCCAAAATGTCTGTGGAGCAGCATCCTTGATCCATTACTTATAGCCAGACCTGTTTTAAGTGTGATACATGTTTTTCGTGTGCTATCTCATTTAATTTTTACAATGTCCCTTTAACATTGTTAGCCTTTGCGTGGGGAGGTGATAGGAGCCATTTGGATTCCACCTGGGAATGCTAAGTGCTTGCTTCTGACTCTGTGCTGAGGCATCTCTCCTGGCATTGTTGTGGGAATGTGCTGGGAGTTGTATTTAAGGTGGTCACATGCAAGGCAAGTGCCTTGGCTCCTACACTATCTCCCTGACTCGCTTTCACCTCTTGTTAAATAAACTGAGTGTCAGGAGGAGGTATTTGCATAAGGGATTTGAACCTTCTTCCAACCCCAAATCTAGTTTCTCATCGCCTTCCCTTTGTCATCTTGATTAGCACCTTCAGCCCACAATCTTGAATTCAAAAGTAGAATCCGGACTAGGGATGTGATTCAGTGATAAACTAGAAACCTCACATGTGTGAACCCCTGAGTTTGATCTCTGGGGCCACACACAGATAAAACCTATGTCATTATGAGTCCAGCAGAAATATTTGCCTTTGCAGTTTTCAGAGGTATACAGGCACAGTTTAAAACCCCTCACTGTGGGCCAGAGTGATATAGTACAGCAGGTAGGGTGCTTGCCTTACACATGGCCGACTGGGTTCAATCTCCAGCTTCCCATGTGTTCCCCTAAGGCTCACCAGGAATGATCCCTGAGTGCAGAGCCAGGAGTAAGCTCTTGAGCACAGCCAAATGTGTCCCCAAACCCAATAACAGTTATAGTAAAAATAAAATTCCTCATCAAACATCACCAACAAGTGAGGAAAATATTATCTCTATCATGAGAACCATCCTCATGCACCTTCAGGGGCTCAGCACCTCTCTCTCTCCAATGGAACACCAAGTCCTTTGGGGGTGACTGACTGTCCACGGGGTCTGGCTAAGACTTTCCAGGAGGAGAAAGGGATTTTCAAGTTGTCAACTTTTTTTTTTTTTAAAAAATGGTGAAGATCTTTTTACTTTGAATCGCTGAGTTCTCACACAGCTCTGTGTTTTGGTCCTTAAGATCAGATGTCATCAGGAGAAAATTAAGCTGTCATTTTTTCCCTTGTCTCAGTACTGTTTCCTTTATGAGAAATAGTCCCAGAGCTAGTTACGCTAAACAATTATTTTCTGCTATTTAAGGGATTTCATGTCTTATTGACAGAACGACTTAGTATTTTATTTCCATCATTTTTACTGCTAATCGATCGACTCTTAGATTTCCCACAATGAGTGGGCCTCAGGTTTAGACACTTCATGAGGGCTCTGTATAGCATGCATGGTCCTCCCCTTCAGATCATAAGTCCACATCATGAGCTGCCAGCACAACTACCAGAGCACAGCCATCAGCACAACCTCTGTAGACCCCAGTGCTGTTGTACTGGCCTCTGGGTGTGCTGGAGGGAAATGAGGAATTTGTGCTTTTATGATCTCCAGTGGTTCTACTATACCATGAGTTTTGAGACTCTTGGGGACTCTGTAAAGTTCTTCACAAAGGCTCTACCCCAAAGATACAAGATAGAAGCAAGTGTGTTTCGAGGCAGTTGGTAGAAGATTCCTAAACATGAGTTGTATTTGAAAAGAGTTGAGAAAAACACCTGGTCTACCCGTTTTTTTTCTTAGTAAACAAAGCAAAAATGTGGTCAGGATTGGCATGTGGGAAAAGGGAGTGTTGTAGAGCATGGGGACCCTTAACTGGGAGATTTCTCAGTGAGACTCTGAAACACAGCTTAGAATTCATTTTCTGAAGCCCTCTGGACAACACTATGGTGACCTCCTCAAGCAGATTGATTTCTGGAGTGGTTTAGCATTTCCATTGATTATGAAAAATGCAGGGGGCCTGCAAAAACCAGAGTATTCAATAATCAATTTTGCAATTCATTCTGGGTTAATAAAGTCCAGAGAGTTTCAGGAGGGAGGGAAAGAGGGCCAGAAATACAACCCAAAACAAGGGTTGTCAAAAGCAAAACCTTAATGCGTGTACCTTACTAGCTACTGCCAATGTCAGATGACTTAGATTTTTCAGTCGAGACAGCTCTCAAATGAAACTAACTGCTGTTTGGACCAGGCTGGGAACAGGTGAAGAAAAGGCAACTGCAGAGACTTCGATGTTTCCCCCTGTTAATTGCATGTTTCTCCTTCTAATGTCAGACTGCGTCGCCCATTAAAAAAGTCCTGTTTGTTTTTGCAGGCATTTACAGAGACCCAGAAAAAAAGATTGTTGTCATGGAAACAGCAGGTGCAGAAGCTCTTTCGGTCTTTCCCTCGGAAAACCCTTCTAGACATATCAGGATATCGACAGCAAAGAAAGTAGGTTGAGATTTCATTCTTGGTCATGCACGGTGGCTCCCAGGTATCTCAGTGCCAACAGCCCAGGTTCACAGGGCAAGACTCAGGCAGGACATCCTTGGTCTGTGGTCCCCAGAACTCCCTATGACAAGTTCCAGATTGCATTCTTGAAACATGTGGGGCCTGGAAAAAGCATTCCCGGAGGAAGAACTGAATGGGATTCTCTTAGTCCTCGGAGCACATTGCCAGCCTGGTGGCGCTGATCCAGATAGGCATCCAGGGAGGAGAGGGGGTGTGATGCAATGAATGCCAACAAAACGCTTGGTGGTTTATCCGCAGAAGGGGGCCCTGGAAGGACAAAACTGGGATGTTCCATCAGCACCTAAGTGGTAGTGTAATTTCTCCTCTCCATTCTAACTGCAGACAAGCTAATTATAGTCAGTGGCCGGGTAAAGCGCCCAGTGCAAGTCTATTTTGGTCTAAGCTGCAATCTCAGAGTAGAGCGGTACAATTCTTGATTTTTCATAGTACTTCAGCTTCTGGAATGCAGTTAAAAATAAGCCTCCTTGTACTTTAGAACCCATTACCTTAATCTGGTTTTAAATTGAATCCAATTGCATATTAAAGGTGAATTACAGTGACAATCTGAGGGAGGGATTATGGGGAGGAGTGGAGCTAAGCCTTGAACAATGATACAGGAGCTTTAGTGGGGAGGAGGCAGGAGCCGGTGATGCAAACATCCTAAAGAGTCCACTTCAGTATTACATTTTGAAACGTGAGCAGATCCCTGCTTTTCCCACCTGCCCCTGGAAAGTTTGTAATTCACTTCACAGCGCATATCTAGAATTGGGATGAACAATTTGGGCACTCAAAAAAGTCTTCAGTGTGATTTTAGGGACTTAAGGTCAGTTGAAATTTGCAAGTAGTCTTGGTTAAAGCTGAATGTAAAAATTGAAGTGTTGTCATTTTCGAGCATATATAACACGGTTATTTATTAAACATTTAGCACTTCCCATGTGCCATGTGGTATCCAAGCGCTTTCAGAATATTAATACACTTAATCCTTACAACAAGCATCTGAGGTAAAGAGGCTATTATTAACCCCTGTTTACAGCAGATTTGGGGAGGTAGGGGCAGGTAGGGGCAGCCAGGATTTAGGCCAGCAGGTCAGCACCAACTCCAGTCGGTGCTTTAAGCCATTGCAGATGTCAGGCAGACCTCACGATCTCTGGTCAATGTGCAAACAGTCAGAGCAACACTTTATTGCCAGCATACTGGCCACTGGCCCTCAGGAGTTTTCCTTCTTAGTGGACACCCAGAATCAAGTGCACCTTAATGATTCCTGGGGGCTCAAGTGAAAGACAATACCTGCTCCTAAATCGCCTCCTGGAGGCTGCCTCAATCTCTGTCAAGGTAGTAGGAATTTTCTCAAGTTAATTCTTCTCCAGCCCCGTCCCACAACACCAGGTTCTCAAAAAAAAGGAGGCAGGTGTCAACAGGAAAGAGATTTAATTTACAGGTTAAAGATGAAGATAAGGCTTTTGAGCTATTGGCTCCTCTTCACAAGTGTCCTTACCTGCCTCTGTCACCCTTGCATCTGTGTTTCTTGCCCAGGGTGGGGCAGGGACAGTCATTGTGGTGCCTGTTCATGTCCCTGTTGCTTGGATAAGGACAAGGCTGGACAGACCAGAAACCTGATGAACCTTGTTTTATTGGCTAGATGTGAAATGAATTCCAGCATCGATTGTAGATGTTCAATTGGAAGTTGGTAAAGCTCTAGAAAATAATTTGTTCTCATAACATTACCTCTGGGATCTCTTTATGCCATTAATTTGCTTTGAAGATCTGTTTCTCCGAAGATACAAAGGTAACTGTGACCCAGCCCCTGCTTGAATTATCGCAAATCCCAAATTAATTGGTGCTTATTAATGCCATTTTATCAATCTTTTCAAGCATTTCAACGTAATGATTTCAGTTGGCTAGATTTAGGAAGGCAGAGAAAGACGCAGAGAATGACAGATTAGAAACTCTAATTGTGTCACTTTGTTCCCATTAATTATTTCATCCAGTGAGGTGATCTTAAGGAATGTCAGCATCTGCTCTGGCTGTCAGCAGCATCCACGCTCCACAAGTGTGCAATAATCAATGCACAGTAGGGCATCAGTGGCTGGAGAAAGATGAACTAGTTAGTGCTCTCTCCCCCTGGCAAACGTCCACTCTATTCCCCAGATATTCCAGGCTCTCCTGGTCACATACAGCTCAGCTCCATGAGTCTTGGCTTTAGGAGTCCCTGGAGCTCTCATTTGTCCAGTGAGAGGCTCACAACAGAACTCAGTGGCCATACTCCATTGCTTTGAGAACATAATCTTTCCTTCCTGGGAGCAACGACTATTTTAGCATCCATCACAGACTACTGTATTTTGCATATGAAATAACTTTTAAAAAATCCAACCAAAAAGGCAATTGAGCAAAAAAGCCTTCAGCACTAAATAAGGAAAAGTCTGAGCAGAATACTGAATCATCGGGCCAGGTGGCCAAAATCCCAGCTCCCAAAGCCAGAGGACAGAAGGAGGTTCCACGGTTTACACAGAAGACAGACAAGAGAGAGGCCACTTGCTGCATGTGGCTGGCTCATCCTTCAGAGTTCTTCAGAGGGCTCTCTCCAGTCACCCGAAGGGAATTCTGCCCTTCCAGGCCTGGGGTTTCCTTTAGTTAAATGTTGACGCTTAACCAGAAGGAAAAGGGAAGGGGCAAGGAATGAGAGTGAGTCCAGGGTGGAGACAACAATGCCGTTTCACCACTTGAAGACACGCCTCTGACCGGAACTAGAACTCTTGGCGTCAAAAGCCTGGAGTACCACCAGCCCCCAAATCAGTGGTACTCCCTGTGGAATTCTCTTCCTGACCTCTGCCTTGCCAACAGAGGAATTCTGGGGATCAGAGAATCCTGTCCTGTCAGCCTTGCTGTCAACTGGGGGGCGCCTCCTTCCCACACGCTTAGGAAATGACTCTCCTCGGCTCCCCTCGCCCCCCACCCCAGCCATCCTCTCCGGGTCCACCATGTATGTCATCAGCCTCGGGAGTCTGCTTGGTGGCTGCGGCAGTGAGCCTGTTCCATCTGGTGGCCGTTGGAGGTAAAGCAGTTTGACTGAAGCAGCGAATGACTCAAGCTGACTCTTCTTGGAAAGAATGTGCTGGTTCCTGAAACCCTGCTGGCTGCCCTGCGCCCTCCCAGGACGGAGGCACGCGGACAGGAGAGTTCTTCGGTGCTGAGGTCACCCGCCTAGGGGAGCAGAGCGTCAAAAGGCAGCACCCACCCACCCATCCCCACCTTTCTGCGTGATTTTTTTCCCTAGGGATGCATGGGGGCAGGGAGGAAGGAAGATCCATGGGATGGGGAGCAGGAGCGGTCCCCAGTCCAGGCCTGCAACTCTCCTCTTCCCTGGTCTCCTCTCTCCTCTCAGAGGGGCCTGAAGTGTGGCCAGTGTGGCCACTTGGAGAGGCGCCCTCAGGACTGAGTCTCGGGCTCCGTCACACTGCCCACACCAACACAGCCGGGAACCGAGTCAGGCCTGGGTCATCAGGAGTGACCAGCTCGGCCACTGTTCTGTTTTTCCCTGTGCTTTTCATCCTGGTGGGGCTCCCAGGCCCCTCTCTCCAGAGGGACCAGGCAGACTGTGGATGCCGCAGCGAGAAGGCTACAGAGAGCAGAGAGCGCTCACAGGCAGAGCGGCAACATCAGTCCAGCTTTCTGTTCTCCCTCCCCAGCTAGGGAAGGGGTCCAGGGGGCACCTCCTTTCTGGGGTGGTGATGAGGAGTAAATCTGCACTCAAGTCCCAGGATGGTGATGCGGATTGTCAGCGGTCATTGTCATTAGAGCCCATCCCCACCAGGGCCTCCCAGCTGCCAGAAGCGTAGGGGGGTGGGAGGGCACCTCCCAAGGAGGCAGCTTGGGGCTGCGAGGGGCTGTGGAGCCTGATGGCCTCTGTCTCCTCTGCTCACTCCCACAGTCGCGGCTTTGGGCAGTCCAACTCGCTGCCGACGGCTGGCTCTGTGGGCGGCGGCATGGGCAGACGGAACCCACGCCAGTACCAGATCCCGGCTCGGAATGTCCCTTCTGCCCGCCTGGGCCTCTTGGGCACCAGCGGGTTTGTCAGCTCCGCACAGCGCAACACGGCGGCCAACCCCACCATCATGAAACAAGGCAGACAGGTTGGTTCTGTGCTGGGAGGAGGGTGAGCCAGCTGAGCCCGAGGACCCCAAGGACCCTGGGGCCAGGGCAAACAGTGCCCCCCCCCCCACATACACACATACACAATTTCATGATCTCTCCTGAGGCAAAGCCACCTCCTGCAGAGCATTTAAACTTGGGGACCTTAAGAAAGAAATACAAAACCTTTGTCATGTTCCTGACTTTTGAGGGCCCCCCAAGACCTTAGCATCCCCCGCCTTTGGGTTGCAGAGAAACCTGCATATCTCCAGCATTTTCTCCCTTACAGTAAACAGCTCAGCTACTCGGGTTAGCAGGTGGGTGCAGGAGAATCCTGGAGGGAGCCCAGAGGGGTTGAGCGAGAACTTCAGCCAGACTCTGTCCGGGCCCAGCTGCCCTGAATCCCCCCTTGTGCTTTAGGTGACCTCCGCCCATCTGGAGCCCTGTCCCCTCGCTTGCTCACCCATGTGCCCCATCTCTGAAAGGGCCCCTGCAGGGTGCACCTGGGGCTCAGGGGACACCGTGGCTCTGAGGCGCTGAGTTGTCATGACAAAAGCAGGGATACTACAGGCGCCTAAAACAGGAAACCTGTCTCAGATGAGAGGGGTGGGATTCAGTGCTCGGCTGAGGTGGGCAGCAGAGGGTGTTGGGACCCCCCCCACCACCGTACCTCCACTTTCCTGGCCATTACCGCAGTCAAAAGTCATGGTGAGGACACCCGCCCCATCACAGACACCAGCTGAGTAGTGCCAGCTCATTGCCAGCTGGGACGTTCCTTTTTTCTCTCCTCGCTTTGTAGTAAATTGTAAGACTCGGAAACAAAGTCTAATGAGAGCCCTGAAATAGTTTGTGCTCTCCGTGGCAAACGTTTATAGAACTTCCCCATTTCCTAGAAAAGTGAGAGGAAAAACAAAGGCGACAAAAGGGCTACAGAGAATCTTGGCGTGAAGGAGGGAGAGGGGAGCCAGACACAGGTGAGGGCTCTGATGGGGGCGGGGATGTGGGAGCCCAGTGCACGGAGCCACCACCCCCCAACTCCCCCACCACACACACACACACAGTCCTGGTCCTGGTGGAAAAGTGACCTGGGGCATCTCTGGGACCCGCACCTCCCAGATCCTGCCCTGGGGCCCTGTTTCATTCCCCTTACCCCAGAGCCTCCGCACTGATTTCCTTGTCTCTCCCTAGAACCTCTGGTTTGCCAACCCCGGGGGCAGTAACAGCATGCCCAGCCGCACCCACAGCTCTGTGCAGAGGACCCGCTCACTGCCTGTGCACACGTCTCCACAGAACATGCTGATGTTCCAGCAGCCAGGTAGGGCGGCCACCTCTTGGCACATCCTCTCACCCCTCAGAGGTGGCCAGGAGCCGGCACAGTGGCCCAGAGAATCCCGCCAGGGAGCTGGCGATGAATCATCACCACAAACCCTCCTCGCAGTGCTTCTTGCTCAGAACTTTTCCTTCTTGAAGCTGAGTCTTGCCAGCGTGAATAGCTGTTGGTTGGCTGGGGTCCAGTCATGGAGACCCGGGGTGAATGCAATCTGACTGGGATTTGGGGGATACCCTTATGTTTTGATGGATGGAAACTTGAAAAAAACCCAGAGGGCTTTCGGGGGTAGATGGGGAAGGGTTCTCTGTGTATGGGTGTCAGAGGGGAGGAGATATATGCCTTCCCCCCAACACACACACACATACAAACACACACACACACACACACACACACACACACACACACACACCGGTCCATTTCCAGCAGTGTTGGGAGATTACTCCCAGCTCAGTATACCAGCATTCTCTTCCATTAGTGCTCAGGAGGACCCTGTGTTGCCTGGGATCAAAGCCAGAGCACCGCAAACAAATCATGTACATGTATTTCCATCTTGGGAGCTCTCTCCCCAGCCCTCTGGATCCAGACAGAGCAGACACAGACAGTGAAGACTATGTGAGTGATACAAAGTCCCACAAACAATAATGTGCCCAGCTGGGCAGGCACCTCAGGCCTGTGTCGAACCTACAGGGAAATGTGCTCTTTAGGAGCGGGACACTTGCTCCATGTCTGAATTTCTGTCCCTTTAAAGAGGAAAAATGTCACTGTGGCCTCTGTGTGTGTGTGTGTGTGTGTGTGTGTGTGTGTGTGTGTGTGTCGGGGGGGGATGGGGGAGGAGGGTGTGTGAGTGTGTGTATGTGTGTGTGTGTGTGTGTATGTGTAAGGAAGTCTTGTAGAACTACAGATGAACCAAGGGGGGAGAGTAGGAAGAGGAGAGCAGAGTCCTGGCAGGGTGAGGACAGTGGTGGTCACTAAGTGCCACAGGAGTCCCGCAGCCATGGCTGGGCTGAAGGATCAGACTGCAGTCAGAGTGGCAGAGTTTTGTCCATGGTGCAACTGAAATCCAGCCAGGGGAACCAGGACTCATTGCTCTCAGTGGGGAATCTGGAGGGTTCTGAGAGAGTAGAGAGGTTTGGTGTTGGCTTTGCATGAGACCATCCCTAGTTCAAGCCCCAGCTCTGCATATAATCCTCGTATAATCAGACACTTTCAGAAGTAACACCAGACAGAGCCAGGGATAGTCCCTGAGCCAGCCAGGAATGACCCAGACACCCCGCACAATCACCACCCCTACACACACAAACACACACACACACACACACACACGAGTCGGAGTGGACAGGTGACCACTAGGTGACTAACATGACCCTAGGTGAGGGGTGTCAGGGAAGGAAGGAGTCTCCACATGGTCCTGATGCTTGTGATACATTGCTTTTAGCTGGGTCAGAAAGATCACATAAGGGTTAAGGAATTTGCCTTGCACCCAGCTAATCCCAGTTCAATTCCTGGCACCTCAGTGTGTTCCCTGAGCCACACCAGGAGTTATCCCTGAACTCAGAGCCAAGAGTAAGCCCTGATCCCAACTAGCGGTGGCCCCCAAACAACAGCAAAGTTGCTTCTAGACTTGCGGAGTTCACTTTGTGGGTGCAGTTTGGTTTTAAATTTCCTTTTGTCCATTTACATACTCTTGGCTGCTTTTCTACCTGGAAAGAAATCGTTAATAAAATGTGGGAGTTGTGAAGGCTTTCTGCCTAGACATTTGCATCCCACCCGTGTTCTCATGCAGATGGTGTGTTTATCCCTGCCCAGTGAGAGAGAAACTGGATCCCATCTGCAGGCTTCCTGGGCACCTGGGGCTGTTCTCTGGAGTAAGGGTCCATCTCACCTCTGCCTGCAGCCTCCCGGAGCCTCGGTGGAGCCAGTGGCTCTCCTTTCCTCAGACCCATAACCTTCTCTGCTCTCAGCACTTTCCCCTTCCTGTGGTTCTCTTCTCTTTTTTTTAAGATTTTTTTTATAGAATCGTTGTGATAGACCCTTACAAAGCTGTTCATGATTGGATTTCAGTCACACAGTATTCCAACACCTATTCCTCCAACAGTGTACGTTTTCCAGCACCCGTGTCCCCAGTTTCCCTCCCATCACCTCTCTCTCTCTCTCTCTCTCCCCCTCTCTCCCTCCCTCTCTCTGTCTCTCTCCTCCCCCCTTCTGGGCATTGTGGTTTGCAATACAGATCCTGAAAGATTATCAATATCCCTTTACCTACTTTTAACATTCGCTTCTCGTCTAACATGATCATTCCCAGCTCTTATTGTCATACTGGCCTCTATCTTACCTAACCTCCATCCATCCCAACACACACTGGTGATTGATTCCAACCATTGACCAGTCCTCCTAGCTCCTGTTTTCCCATGTCATGGATATTAGTATTCTAATATATATATATATGTATATATATCACAAATTAATGCAGTCATTCTATATCTGTCCCTCTCATTCTGATTCATTTTACTAGCATGATACTTTCCATGTCCATTCATTTATAGGCAAATTTCATGACTTCGTCTTTCCTAATAGCTATGTAGTATTCCATTGTGTAGATGTTATAGTTTCTTTATCCATTCATCTTTATTGGGCACTGAGGTTGTTTTCAGATTCTGGCTATGGTGAATAGTGCTGCAATGAATATAGGAGTGCAGGTGGTGTTTCTGCTGTGATTTTTGGGCCCACAGGATATATCCCAGAAGTGGTATTGCTGGGAGCTGAATTTCTAGTTTTTCTGAGAAATGTCCATGTTGTTTTCCAAAAAGACAGGACCAGTCAGCATTCCCACCAACAGTGAAGTAATTTCTTTCTCCCCACATCCATGCCAGCACTGGTTGCTCTTTTCCTTTTGGATATGTGCCAGTCTCTGTGGTGTGAGATGATATCTCATTGTTGTTCTGATTTGCATCTCTGTGGTTCTCTTCTAAGTCCTCCATTCATTGTGCTCCCTGCACCTTCTCCTCCTGCTCCTGGTCAGTCATCTCTGGGAAAACCACACCCATCGAGGGAGCCCCATTTGTGTCTGTTGCTCGGGATCCCTCCATCTGCCCCTTTATTTGCTGGGCTGCTGGGAGCAGTGCTGAGAGGCCGGTTGATGCTCACTCATGAGGCATGAAGCAAGACCCAAGGATCTGTGAGCCAAAGGCAACTGTTGCCTCCCCTTCCCCAGCCAAGCCCAGAGGCAGCTGCATCTTCAGGCTTCTTTTCCATCATCCTGGACACTACCTGCAAGTCTTTTTATCAACTCTGCCTTCTGCAGCCTGCCTTGAGTTTTGTGTTTTAATCAACCTCACTCAATTATAAACCCACTTGCAGCAAGTCTATGCTGAGGTTTCTATTGAAGGCCAAAGAATGGGGTCCATGCTACTTACTCTTTCCCAATGAAACAAGTGGACAGTGTTGGGGGCGAGGTGGGAGCGGCACCTGGGCAGCAGCCTCTCCTGAGTCCTGCCCAACACACTCAGCTCCTGCAGGCTGGCTCCTGGCCAGTTCACTGAGAGCACAGCCCAGATGTGAGTGGACAGGCATGAGCACTGCAGGGAGTTTCTGTGGTGGGCTCCGGGGTGTTCCTCTTCAGCCTTTGCCTGGCACTGAGTGCATTCCCATCCGGCTTCCAGAACCCAAGCCACTGTGAGGACTTTCCCTTCTGCCCATCCAGCTGCCACGGCCAGGCCCTCCCTGAGCCTGGGAGTGCCCCCATGTAAACCCTCCAAAACGGTGTGACAGTCCACATCCTGGTTTCCCCCGGCCACAGAGATGTCTTCAGAGAAGCCGAGAGGTGCAGGGGTACATAACTTGCATGCAGCAAGCCCCCAGTTCGAGCCCAACCCTAGCATTGAACCATCAGTCTGGTTGGCTAAGTATCACTGGGAGTAGCCCCCAGGCCTCCCTAACCTTGGTAGGCTCCCCAAATATTTAATAATTATTTGTGCCTTCAGAGGGAGGTGTATAGGACATCTACCTAAATAGAAAACTGGCTTGGAAACCACTTGCAGGTGATACCTAATCTTAGAAGTAAGTGCCCCAGGATCCAGCCTCGGGATTTCTGAGCACTGGTTCCACTTGGGAGACCACAGTGCACTGTATCCCCCAGAGGGCCTGGCAGGAAGGATCAGGGGCCTGGGAGCTAGAAGCTGGCTGGCTGCACACTGCCCTGGGACTGGGCAGCCCAGGGTGAGACAGGGCATTTCCTGAGGTGACATCTCTGTTCACACAGCCAACCTCCTCTGGGCACCATCCCAGCGATTCCATGATAGGGCACACACTCGGCCTGCACGAGAGGCCCTGGCATGATCCCTGGCGCCAAATACTGGGTAGGGCACCACCTCCCAAGCCCTCTTGGGGGTGACCCCTATAAAAAACTTCTGCATCGGTTGCTGCATGCCCAGGAGCAAAGCCTGGAGACTGCAGCATCCAGCTCTTCCTTCTCAGGGAAGTGAGTCCTAGAGCCCTTCTGGAGAAGGGCCTTCGAGAGAGTGGGCAGGAGGCCGTGCCCAGGGCAGACCCAAGTCCTGCTCCTCCATAAACCCTCACTCCGTGTCCCCTTAATGAGCCCAGCCAGCAGCTCTGCTCAGGAACTGACAGCTGGAAACTGGGGTGGGCAGAGGGGTGGACATCCTCAGCTGAATCTGAGCTCTTATTTTCTGAGAGGAATCCACACGCATGGGCTCAAAGCAAGCAGGGGTGTGTGGTCACGTCCTGTCTATTCCTCATCACTCTTGGTGGACGTGTGGTTGCCTGAGCACTGACTTTGTGTGGGTTTCCACAGCACTGACTTTGTGTGGGTTTAGGAAGAGCTGGAGCCCTCAGAGAAAAGCTATTTTCCCACAGCAGACTTGGGAACTGCTCATAACGCCATCCCAGCTACCATCATCCACCCTTCCCTGCCTGCCAGGTCCCCATCTTGCTGCAGGCGCCCTTTCTTCCTCACAGCTCTGCTCACAGCCCAGAGGCCCAAGTTGTCTCCTCAGCCCTTTTCTTTTTTTTTTTTCCCTTTATTTTATTTTATTTTTTTTAAAGTTGTAGATTTACAATTTTTTGTGCTTTGGTTTCAATTATACAATGATCAGATACCCATCCCTCCACCAGTGCCCATTTTCCACCACCATGGATAATATCCCTCCCACCCCCATCCCCCCATCCCCCCGTCTCTGTGGCAGGGCAATCCCCTGTGTTCTCTCTCTCCTTTTGGGTGTTGTGGTCTGCAAAAGAGGCATTGAGTGGCAAACATGTTCAGTCCATAGTCTACTTTCGACATGCATCTCCCCTCCTGGGAGGATCCTCCAAACATCCTTTATTTGGTGCTCCCTTCTCTATCTGAACTGCCCTTTCCTCTAGGATACCCGGCTGGCCTCTAAGTTATGGAGTAATCCTCCTGGTGCTGATCTCAGCTATTCTTGGGTATTAATCTCATATTTTGTTACTTTATATCCCCCAGATGAATGCAATCTTTCTATGTCTATCCCTCTCTTTCTGACTCATTTCGCTTAGCATGATACTTTCCATATTGTACCATTTGTATGTAAATTTCATGACTTCATCTTTTCTAAGAGCTACATAGTACTCCATTGTGTAGATGTACCAAAGTTTCTTTAACCAGTCATCTGTTCTTGGGCATTCAGGTTTCTTCCAGTTTCTGGCTATTGTAAAGAGTGCTGCAATGAACAAACAAGTGCAGATGTCACTTCGACTATACATTTTTGCCTCTCTGGGATATATTCCCAGGAGTGGTATTGCTGGGTCAAATGGGAGCTCAATTTCTAATTTTTTGAGAATCGTCCATACTGTTTTCCAGAAGGGCTGAACCAGTGGACATTCCCACCAACAGTGAAGGAGTGTCCCTTTCTCGCCACATCCACGCCAGCATCGGTTACTTTTGTTCTTTTGAATGTGGGCCAGTCTCTGAGGTGTGAGATGGTATCTCATTGTGGTTTTGATCTGCATCTCCCTGATGATTAATGATGTAGAGCATTTTCTCATGTGAAATGAACAGAAACTTTCTCCTCAGCCCTTTTCCTGTCAACCTGTCCCACCCTCTCTTTTCCTCCGAGTGGCCCCACTTTTCCCTGTTTGAGCCTCAGAGTCTTTCTGGGAATCCCACAGAGAAACCTTCACGACCAATCCCTGTGTTTGGCCAAGTGGGATGGTAAAGATTTTTTTCCTCAGACTGAAACTCCAAAGATGTTGCCTCAGAGTTGTGACTGAGAGAGACTTCTTAGGTGTCACACACATGAGGGACCCAGAAGTGATAGTCACTTTCTGTCATCCGAGTCGTACACCTCCCCACCACTACTCATTGCATGGACAATACCTTATTTGGGATGGGCAGTTGCTTCCTTCCAGAACTTTCTTGATGCTGACAAGACGCTGTGCTCTGTCCTTATAGGGCTGCTGAAAAAATATATATACATGTCAGGAGACCCAAATCAGCCTGGACCCTGTCCATCCTAGAACTGGTCACCCTCCCTCTCTGAATACCAGGACCCCATAATGAGGGCTGTGAGGAAGCCCCAGCAGGGGGTGGCCTGGTGGTTAAGGTGGGCCTGCAGGGTTGGGAGTGGGCTGAGAGGGAAGCCGGCATGTGCCCAGCTGGTTTCTCTCTGTCTCGTGTGTAGGAGGAGCTGCCATGGATCTGTTTTTATCAAATACACAATTAAAAAGTCACACCATTAGGGAACTCTGGAGTGTGAACATATGGACTTCTCCCAAGACTTCAGAATATCTCAGAGCGTTTCTGGGAGTGGTAGGGGTCCCAACTTCCGGGTGTCTCCAAGGGCAGAGCAGGAGGAGGAAACGCGAGCGTGCCAACGTTCACTCCAAAAGAGCAGTTGCGGAGGTTTGGAGATGATGGCGCAGAGTCCCCACATTGCTCAGCTCCCCCCCCCCCCCCCGCCCCCCTTTTGGAACACACGATCCCAGCCTTGGAAATGGCATTTTGCTGCATGTTGGCAAGAAATCCTGCAGCTGAAACGCTTCTCTCCAAATGTCGAGCATCTTTATTTATCCAAATCTCTCCACAGTGTTTGTTTAAAGGGGAGTGCTAGAGAGTAAACTAAATTTCACAATGAGCATATGGAGGGCTATAATTGCTGAGGGTTGGGGTTTTTTTTTCCGTATTTGCTAACTGGCTATATATAAAATTGTGTTTCTATTTTATAGATTTCACACCCTAAAGGCTGCTAATTTTTGCATGCATATGATTTTCACATGAATGGATGGAAATACTAAAATACTCTTCCCTCTTGATGGTTTCCTTGCCCCGACCCTACTCGGAGAACAGCCAGTGAGGGGAACGGGGCGGTGTAGGATGCGTTCCTGAAAGCAGCCAACATCTATGGCGTTCAGACTCACTGGTTCGGGGACTTGTGTCAGAGAGAGACCTACCTGCTCTCTAGTGCTTTCATATTGCTTCACATTGCCAGTCTTCCCTGTGAGGATTTTTATTTGACACCTTTCCCTCAATCACAGGCCCTCCTGCTTAGCCAGGGGTGCCAGCTTCCTGTGCCAAACCTCCTGCCTTCTTCAGTCATGTCCCTGCCAGGCCCCCAGTGCCCCCTGGTGGAGATAGGAAGGACCCAGGGAATGGCTTAAAATCGGGGCCTCAGGATCCTCTTCTGCTTCTGCAGCCCAGAGGGAATCCCCGAGGAGGAGGGCAGCTTCCTGGTCTCATGGGAAGGCTGTGGCCGTCCTGAAATGCCCCTGACATCAGGACAGAGGCCCTGGTGATTTGAATTCTCCTCCTACCTCCCTCTGCCACCCCCACTCCCACCCCCGTCCCCCACCAAGAGGCCATCATAGTTCTTAGCTGTTTCCTGCTGCTTCTTGCTCCATCTTCATCATCCTCAGCGGATGTGTATGAACAGTGTACAAGGCCATGCATGGATGTTTCTCTTTGGTTTGGGGGAGGTTTTTGGTGGGGTTACAGGACCCCCTTCCCCATCCGTGCTCAGAGGCCCAATGAGTACTCCAGGCCACACTCAGCTAGGCTTAGCAGGTCTGATAGTTCTGTGCTCTGGCTCAGCTAGAGGTCACAAGGCCACACCCAACAGGGCTCAGGGGGTGACGCAGGGGGTCAAAATCAGGGTCCCAAGCAAGTGCTCCAACTCCTTTGGGCTACCCTCCACACTGTGGGTTTCAGTGGTAGGTACAAGAAATAGGAAAAAAAAAAAAAAACATTGCAAGACTTCTCCAAGTAAGTCATGCAGGGACTGTCCTTGGGATGAGAGGTAGGGAGCTACTGGAAGGGATCACAGCACCCAGTGGGACAGCAGGGACACTCCCAGGGGCCTCTACCTCGGTGGCGGAGGGGAGGGCCCAGATGTAGAGGGGCCTTGGGGCTGAGGACACAAAGTGTCCACTCTGGACAGTGGAATGGCTACTGCTTCCCTCAGATACACACCTCAGCGCTCCCCAGAGCTTGGAGGCTGGGCGTAAGCTGCATGGGCTTTCCCCCCCTCCCCCGACTCTGGAGGAAGACCACAAGGCACCCCAGACTCACTGCCATGGCCCGAAGCTCCCAGCTGTCCAGGTCGTAGCACCTCTCTGAGCTCCACTGGGGGAGGTGGACGTAGGTTTGACCCACTTCTCAGGGCAGACATCAGGGCGCAGATACAGAGGCTGGTGACGGCCATAGGGGAAAGTGCAGCCTTGGCGCTGGGGCAGGGGGCTGTTTCCATCCCAGTAACAGTACCCCTTTCTCAGGAGATGGTGACACTAGGGTTAGGGGAGAGAATGGCAGTGGCATGCGGGGTCCCATGTCCTGGCAGCAGGAAGGGCCCACAGTAGAGGAAGGAGGGGGCCACAGGGGCACGGAGAGCCGGCCACAGACAACCAGAGGATGCATGGCCTTCGTGGCCAGCCCTGAAGTTGGCCGTGTTTGGATGGAAACCTCTGGAATGTTCTAAGTGGGAGACTATTGAGCGATGACTTTTTAGTTGTGTTTCCACCCAGACACCCGTGTTCACAGGAAACCGAGCTTGTGTCTGACCGTGGCCTTGGTGGGGAGAGGAAGGGACCAGGTCACGCTGTGCCTTGGCTCTACCCTTGTTCTCAGAGTCCCTGTCACCCACAGACCTCCCTTTTATCCTGCAGAGTTCCAGCTTCCTGTGACCGAACCCGACATCAACAACAGGCTGGAGTCGCTGTGCCTCAGCATGACGGAGCACGCCCTGGGAGGTGAGTCCCGGCAGCAGGCCTCTGCGTCCCCGGGAGGGGGGTAGAGTAGGAGGGACGCTGGAGGCGTGGCGGTGGGGGGCGTCACCTTGCAGCCTGCTCTTCCCCTACCCAGGAGCCAGTATCCTGGCCGTGGGCCCGAGATGAGCCCTTCTCCTCGGCAGCTGTCCCCTCTCTGCCCCACACACTGGACGGTCGTCCCAGTCCCCGCCCTGGGGAGTCGGGAACACAGCCATAGACTCGCCCCCACAGTCTGCCTCATGCACTCGGCCCAGCCTGGGTTCTGTCTTCTCGGCACTGGCACGCTCAGCCTGGTCCAAGCATATTCCAATTTGCTCTAAAATTAGACGTTTCGAAACAAAATTCCTTGCTTGTTTTTCCCTCTCCCTGTTCCAAACGGCTTCCGGGAGCCCCAGGAGGACTGGGGTGTACTTTGCAGCGGAACAGGGCCGTGGTTCATTGACGGCGCCGCAGGCTGCACCCCCCCCCCCCCCCAGAGGCTCCTCGAGGTGACTGGGGCGTCTCCACTGCTGTCTGGAGCCCGACTCACCAGTGACTAAGGGGCGCCTCCGGGCAGGAAGTTTAGTAGCCAGAGGTGGGAGGTCCACCCCTTCTAGCAACCTCTGGAGACTGCAGGCCCCAACTGTGACCTGCCCCAAAGCCCTGTCCAGGCCAGACCATCATCCACCCAGAAGATGCCCACCCTCAGCACTGGAGGCTCAGGGCTGCCCTCAACTCCTTCTCCAGAGACCTTGGTCCTCCGGCCCGGGAGCTCTTAGGACTTTCTCCTCAAACACATGTATCCCAAGCCCTGACAAGAGACATCAGAGCTCTGCCAAAGTCAAGGGGAGCCCCGCCATGCTGCACCCCACAGCCTGCAGCGGCCTCAGCTCAGCATCAGAAGCGAAGGCTGGGATTGGGGGGCTTCTGGCCAGAGTGGGGGGCTTGATGCTTCCTGTGACTCCTGGGGCTTCCGGGAACCCTAATTGCGAGCACTGCTCTCTCCCTCATCACTCAGATCCCAGAAGCTTCAGCGCCCCAGGTCCGTTCCTTGTGTTTCTAAAAGAAGGGTACCACCAGTGTTCCCCCTCGTGCTGACTGAGGAAATTGGGGTGTCTGTGCTGACAACCCCACGGGGGGAAGGCAAGTGGCAATGCAGGTGTAGCGGGACACATGAGTGCAGCCCCTGCCCATTGTGGCTGAGCCTTGTGAGGCGAAGAAGTCAAGCCTCCAAGGCCCCAGGCTGAGCTGGGCCACGTATGTGAATTGCGCAAAATAAGAAGTGTGTAGGCAGGAAGCAGCTTTGGGGTTTTCTTTGAATTCCGCTGATGGTTGTACAGCTCTGAATCTTCCTTTGGGGAAAAAAATATCCACGGACACTTTCAAGGGGCCAAATTTGTATGATGTGGCTTATTTCTCAATTTTTGAAAAATGAAAAAAAAAAGTGGTGGTGCAGGGACATTCCGGGGAAGCCCAATGAGACTGATTTATGAGGATGAGGTCCCAGTCCTCAGCTGCTCCGGGGGTCGGTAAGGAGACCTGTGTCCTGTCCCAGGGCTCATAGACCTCAGGAGAAATCTCACCAAATGGTTAAGTGCCAACGACATCATCAGCAGCAGTCAGAATGCCAAATGCTCTTTATTAAAGGGAGGTTTTCAACAAACAGACTTCTTTTACTTTAGCCTGTTCTATTTTTACAGAAACCCTTTCTGAACTGATGGGATGTTTCGCTAATGTTTTCATCTTGTTAATCTCCTAAGCCTTTTTATGGCCCGGTTTTCCCTCAGTAATTCTCTCTGGTGGGAAGACACGCAGGCCATTTTCTGGCTCAGAGAATGCCCTCCGGTTCTTGGGGGCCCTGGAGACACCACAGGATGTGCCCCAAGCTTCTCCCTCAAACCCCCCTCAGGATATCTGGGGCTAACCTACCTCTCTGGGGCTGGGTGGGACAGAATGCCAATGAACAGACAAGCACAGGCCAAGAGGGGGACACAGAGTGAAGATGATTCCTCTGCTCCATCTCTGTAGACTGGGAGAAGGGTCACAAGACTGTCCCAAAGGCGTCATTCTCTCTTCCTGGTCCTCAGGCCTGGGCCTTACCCTCTGTGCTGACTTCTCCATCTTCTCCTCTCCTGGCACCAATCTAAGCCTCTTTGATCTTCCCTTTCCGGATTTACTTGCCTTCCATTCCCCCAGGATCCTGCAGGGGAACCCGGGAAGGAACTGGGGTGGAGTGGGGTGGGAGGGGGGTGCTTAATCAGCCCCTGCCCTCTTGGTTGGTGAGTCTGGTTTTTGGCTGGTTCTGCTTGGTTTGCTCCTGGCGGGGATCACTTGCCACAAGCCTGGCCCACCTGCCTTCTGCCTTGTGGGCCGGGAGGTCCACGGCCACCACAGCCCAGCTCCACCTAGAGAGGGAGCCCAGAATGAGTGAGTGGGTCACAGAGCAGCACACACCACTCCTTCTCTGCTCTGCCAGGTGCTCACTTCACCTCATGCTCTGCCATTCCCCCTCACCTCTTCTCCTTGGGAATGAGTTTGTGCCTATAGAATCCAGCCAGAGACCCCCAAACTTCTCTAGCCTGCGGCCCTTTTTGCAGAAAAGAAATCATTCAGGCCCCATGCCACACACCACTGAAATATCTTCCCTCCTTAACAAACAGAAAGCATCCCCCAATTCTACTCTAGCACCCCCAGAAGAACTCTAGGCTTCTACCGCACTGCTTGACCATTCGAGTGCCCCTGTAGAGGTTGATATTGCCCGCGTGCCAAGTGCCCATCTAGATGCTCCGTCTGGGGGACCAACTTGTTCCGGCGAGGCTTGACTTGGGATTTGCCCACTGGTGTTAGGCATCCGTGACTCTCCCTCTTCACCTGGTCATAGTCTCTGAGCACCACTTCCCTTCCAACGATGACTAATCCAGCCTCTGCTCACTGCTCACAGCTCGAGCGGGGATCCTGTCAGGGGTGGGCCTGCCACCAGCCTCAGATTCTCTGACCCGATGTGGCCTCTCAGCTGTTCCTCCTAGCCCACTCACCAGTGCCCACATGTTCAGCTCCTGTTCGGCGTCCACATGGCCTTGGTGTTCTGGTCGGGAGGTGTCTCCTCAGGCCCGCTGTAAGCAGATGATGGCAACAGGGTCAGGTGCCGCCAGCACCCTCTCCTCTCAGCCTTCCTCCTGGCCTCTCACCTCGGCCTCATGAGTCCCCGCTCCACCAGTCCCCCACGGAGGCCTCGGCTCTCCCCCCGGCCCCAGACCTCCTTGCTCTGAGCGTGCACCACATCTCACTCGGATGCTTCCACCCTCAGTCAGATTCTTGGATCTCGGTGGGCCTAGGAAGCCTCCTCATGGCCGCTCCACAGAATACAGTCCCAGTCACAGCCCTGCGATACTTGCAGAGATGGTGTGAGCTGGACTGTACACCCGCATCCTTAGTGCAGTGCCTACTGACATTTTGGGTCCCATCTCTGGTCACCCCTCTGATCCCATCCTCCTTCTTACCCCAGTTCCCCCACCACAAGCCTCAGTGACCAACAACCTGTCTTGTGCTCACCCTCTCCTTGGCCCCTCCAGCTTTCCTCTCCTCCTGCCCATGTCCACCTGAGTGTCTCTGTCCCCATGCAACCACTCAAGCTCCCCCACTACATTCTGCTGTGCCTGGTGACACAGGGGGCGCACTGTCAATGCTGGGGGTGTGGGTGTGCTTGCATCCTGGTGAGATGCAGATTGTTGCTTGGGCTCTTAGGTTCAGTCAGGCTCTCGGGGAAAATAAATCCAGGATGTTGGGTCTGGAGAGATAGTCCAGTCGATAGGGCCAGGAGTCCTGAGCACTGTCAGGTGTGGGTCACCCACCCCAATAAAGAAAAGCTGTTGCCCAGATGTCAGGGCGGGTGCGAATAAGAGAGAGAGGAAGGAAGGAAGGAAGGAAGGAAGGAAGGAAGGAAGGAAGGAAGGAAGGAAGGGAGCCTCGGCGTGACTGTTGGCATAGAGAGGAGGTTGGGCATGAAGGGGACAGTTGCCTCACCTGTCCCCACTGTGTTGCTTCTTTCTCTGCCAGACGGGGTTGACCGGACCTCCACAATCTAGAAGCTGAAGACGAGAGTGGCCTCGCTGGCCGTGAACCGACCGCTGCAGGCCCAGTGTCAGCCATCTGCGTGGCCGCTCTCTCTCTCTCTTCCGGATGTTCTGCAGCCTTCCCCGGTCCCTCTCCCATTTTGATTTTGTGAGAGCATAGGTCGTCCTTGTAAACATATCAGTAGACCTGGGATTGGTTATTTTCGTCCTTTGTTTCTATCCTGGGCTAGCTTTGGTGTGGGGGTGGGGGGGTGGGGCAGAGGAGAGGAACCCTCTTGGACAAGGGGATGGGGAGTGGGGTAGGGAGAATGGATAAAAAGTAGGGGACAGAGAGCCCCTTGGTGAAGGGATGAGAGAGACACCCCAGAAGAGAGAAAGACACAAAGATAGACAGAGCTGCAGCCTTGGGAGCTCCCTGCCTTCCCTGCCAGGCCCCAGAGGAGGGCAAGGCTGCCAGCAACCAAAGCAAGATGCGGGTTGACCCTCCTCCAGCCCCGCCTTGACTTCCCCAGGCCCCTGCGTGCTGTCCAGCCTTGCAATCCAGCCCGAGAGAGGGCTACATGGCGGGGGGCAGCTGAAGGGAGAATAATCCCTCCAACAGAATTTCAGATAAACTTTGATTTGTGTATTGTTTACATACTAAGTTTGAGAAGGGTATACAACGTGTCTTGGGTTTTGGGAAGGATCTGTGAGCAGGGGCCTTGTGCTTTCTCCCTTGGTGTGGAAAAAGAGCCACAGGGTGGTAGGAAGGAGGCCGCAAAGCAGCTTCGCTTCTCTGGAGGAACCCTGGGCTGCTCACTCCACCCCAGCAGGGAGGGGTGAAGTGGAGGTGGCAGGGGGGACCAGGGGGATGTGGCAGGAACGGGCCTGAGCGCAGGCAGCAGGTACCGTGTGATCCGTTCCAGGTTTGCTCCCAGGTCCCCCCTCGAGATCCCGCACGCATCCTGCACCCTTTTCTGTGCTGGATTTGCTGCTCACCCAGAGGCCGCTGCTCCTCCCTAGCCACCATGATGCTCAGCCTACTGCTTCCGGCCTGGCTGCACACAGGTGGGTACAGGTGCCAGGGAGGAGGAGCGGCAAGGACTAGGACAATGGTTTGCCCTGCAGGAGGCCTTAAAGGCCCTGACAAGGAGTCCTGCAGGCTGCTCGCCACCACAGTCCCAGACTGACCGCAGAGGAAGAGGAGGAGAGTGGGGGCCGCCTCCTGCTATGACCAGTGGGTCAGTCGGTGGCAGAGAGTGTCCAGGGCAGCGGAAGATGACGACGACATGAGGGAATTCCACCTCGAGGTGGTTCTGTACATGGCATCCGACAGGGACTTTGTTGTGATTTATCTGACCACACGGAAGAGAGGTAAAACCACTCAGTTCATGGTGAGAGATTTCCTAGGTGACCCACAAAGTAACGGCTCTGTTTCTTCTGGGCAAGAGGGACTGCTTCAGTATTCGGTGAAATGGAGAGTGCTGGAAGAAATCAAAGAGGAGTTGTGCTCCGCACTGGAAAATTGGGTTGTGTCAATAATGGTATGAATATGGGCTGAGAGGCAAGATGTGAGGGTGGGGGTGTAAGTTCTGCTTGTTCAATGGATTCTGGTGCCTTTTCCTTTTTTTTTTCCTCTTTTGGTGAATTCAGAGTCAGTGTTGGAGACATCAGACCATGAAAATCAAAGCACTTGCTTATGGTTATTTAAAAATGTTAGGGAAAGTAATCCAAATTTTAAAGGCCTCAAGTGAAATTCACACAACTTTGCTTTTCTTTTAAAACTTTAAATGGACACCCAGCATAAGGCTATTAAAGTCCTATTACTAACAAGGTAGGAACCTCTTAATCACAAAACTTTCAGCAAATGAAGGCTGTTTGAACTGCTCTATTAGTGCAGAAAAAAGAGGGACCATTTCTTGGGTGACTGACATTCAAAAATGCAAATCCATGTGTAGAAAGGAGGCCACAATTTTTAGTTGTTGTTTTTCCAACCAAGTGCCATTAACATTCATCCTCCACACCCCTTTTCTAAACAAACTCGGTATTAACTTGGGGAACGTGTTGAGGTGGACGATCACGTGTAAGGCAGGAAGTCTAGGTGAAAGGGCTGAAGGCTGTAGTAAGACCAGAAGGTTTGGGAAGGTGATTTTTATTGGATGCTGGGAAAGTTGATAAAGAGAAATAAACAGTGGTGTTAAGCAGTTTATGAAGAAATGGGAGAGTATTTAGATCTGCAAAATGCATATATCCATAAAGACTTGGGTTGCTCAGAAAACAGATTGTGAACACAATCACATTAGCACGAATCCTTTAAAAGGAAAACCATAAAGTATTTCCAAATCTGAATTTCTATTTATTCCTTCTGAATATAGAAACAGTGGTTATCTGATTATTATAGATATTATTTTGGATATGTTACTTATTAACTCGCTATGGCTGGTAACCATGATAAAGTCTGTTATTAATAACAACATAATTTTTTTTAAAAAGGAAAAGCTTATTTTTCATTGACTGTATAGATTTATCTACTCGGTTGTGTTTTGCTGTTTGTGTTTTAAAATTTTTAAGTTGAGTGTGTTCTGATAAGTTTTAGGAGCCTGTCCCCACCTTCTTTTGAGTCCTGTGTTGACTGCAGGTATACAGCTCAATTTTAAAATCTTAATGCAAAATAGTTTTATTTATAAAAGAATCAAACAGTTGCATGCTTAAGGCTATGAAGTTGGATATTTAGAAATAAAGCGTCAGTGCCTTTTTTGTATCCACCCATTGACCCCAAAATGCAACTGTTTTATTTTAAGTAAATATAGTAAACATCGAACACCTCAGAATAAAATCTCTTTCACTCCATCTCCCTCATCCTGATTTAAACAGTGTGTGTGGCCCTTTGCACTGTCCCAGGGACAGCCCTGTTTGATGATATTATGGTGTATGATGTTTTATTGGTGCTTTTTATTCATAGTGGTTTCTTTCAAGAAACAGTAGGAAGACATACATGGACTGTATACCAGAAATGAAACATTGCTGCTGTTTTTATTTTGTTTTCCACGTGCTTTTTAAGTTTCACTTTTTCAACTAGGGCTAGCAAGTAAAATATAGACTCTGCCTGCAGAGGGCGCTGTTTGCACCAAGTTCTCAGAGTCTGAGCATTGGGAAGGCCCCTTTGTGGGTACTCTGGGAGCTACAGCTGGGTCCCATTCGTTCAAAGAGACACTGAGGAAAACGAGATTTTTTTCTTTTGAGGTGTCGTGGCTGCCTTTTTACAGAATGGGAGCCTTCTCTGGGGCTTTTGCTCTTCTGTAACCTCTTGTAGCTACTGCCGGCGCACTGTTGGGAAATGTGTGTTCCCCAGCTAGAATTCATCTCTCTCCAGGAGCCTAGGCCAGCTTGCTGAGCTGAGCTGAAAGCATAGGCATGCAACCAGAAGGACCGCGTGGGGAGGCAGCAGAGGCCCAAGTCTCGTTAGCCCCAGGGAGGTATTGCCCAGGTATCTCCAGCCTGGGTGCTGGGATGCAGCCTGACCAAGGCTCTTTATTGTGCCTGTTACAGCAGGGCCCTGGGGAAGGAGAATTCGCACATGGGGCTATGATAACACTAACTTTTTTTTTACACATCATCAGAGATGTTTGCAAAGTGATTTTTTATTTTTTTGTAATTCCTTTATCTTTACTTAAAGGTGAATGTGTATTCCTCTGGGAGGAATAGGAAGAAAACAGGAATGTTAATAATGTCAAACAGAAGACTTCCTCCCTTATTAATATATAACCCTCGTGTATTTATGCCTAATGTAAGCTGACTTTTAAAAAGCGTTCTTTTGTTGCATGCCCCATGCAGGCATCCCTATTGTACATGCATGCCTTCCGTCCTGTTTTCCTGTATAAAGTTAGTGAATAAAGAACTATTTTTGCCTAGTTCATGTTGCCAAGCAATGCATATTTTTTAAATTTGTCATATATGGAAATAGCATGTTTGTTACATGTAAAAGCTTTACTGATATACAGATATACTAATGTTTGAAGATGCTGTTCTTTGCAAGTGTACAGTTTTCAAATGTTGTTACCAGTGAAACAGCCCTTGTGGTTTAAACTTGCTACAATGTATTTATTACTCATTTCCTCCCATGTAACTAAGAATCATGGCTATATTTCATATCAACTATATTGAAAGTGAAGGGAAATGATTAATACAAGGTTTTGTAACACTGGTTTGTGTGTATGTGTCTTTCTTTTTTGTCAGTGTGTCCATTAAAAAAATAAAAGCTGAATTTTATTTAGAATAAAATTCAAATGAGCCTTGAAAATGAGCCGGAGAGGAAGAAGCATAACATCCCTGTAAACTGTTTCCACCTGATCATGCTACCTAAGGAGATATGGTAAGGGGGGGCCTGGCCCATCTGGCAGCCCATGTGGCAGCTCGTCCCTCTTCCCTTTCTCAGCACAATGCTTGAAATCAATCTGCTATCAGGCCATGCTTGTTGCTAGACACATGTCACAATGCTTAGAAACTACCAGTTCAAAGAACAGTGCGTTCTGGCCTCTGCTTCCTCATCAGTTGCTGCTCAAACCATGAATTCTGCCTGTAACAATGACTTCATTTCCAATCACAGGATCCACTGTTAAGTAAAATAGTCAACTTGAAGAATATATGGTTTAGGGTTGCTAATCCTGCCCTTATATAACCTTTTACTCTCCACCAACCCACACCCACCCCCATACACACACAAAGCTTGGTATCATCTCCTAGCATCTGTGGGGGATTGGTTTCAGGACTGTGCCTCTGTCCCTGAAGAAAACCTCCCAAGTGCTCAGTCCCTGATAGGCAGTGCCTTGTACTAGTTAGTTCCACACCTCCAGGTTCAGCTAGCTGGCTCCTGCGGGTTGTTGAAACTGTGAATGCAGATTCTGCAGCTGAGTAAGGTAAGAACCAACTATTTGGTGGGTGGGGGCTAGAGGTGGCTGAGTAGATGACTAAAAGAACTGGAGCACCCTGGGTTTGATCCTTGACACTGTGTGCCCCCCACCCCCAACCCAGCCTAGCCAGAGCACCTGAGCACCATTGGGTAAGGTTAAAAAAAAATAACCAAGGCCTGTAGCACTGCTGAGATGGCCCAGGTCTCACTGGCACTGCAGGGCCTGAGAAGCATCATGTTCACAGGTCTTTGTGCTGAACCCTCAGCCCAGCTGGCTGGGAATTCCCAGT